GTTCTGGCCCCAGTACTCTGTTGCGCAGTTCCAGGACTTTCAGCTTCAGCTCCCCAGCCTCCTCATATTTTCCTTGATTTGAATATGTGAATGCAAGATTATTCATGCTACCCAAGGTATCTGGATGTTTTGGCCCCAGTACTCTTTTACACAGATCCAGGACTTTCAGCTGCAGCTCCCCAGCCTCCTCATATTTTCCTTGATTTGAATATGTGAATGCAAGATTATTCATGCTGACCAAGGTAGCTGGATGTTCTGGCCCCAGTACTCTGTTACACAGATCCAGGACTTTCAGCTGCAGCTCCCCAGCCTCCTCATATTTTCCTTGATTTGAATATGTTAATGCAAGACTTCCCATACTGGTCAAGGTATTTGGATGTTCTGTCCCCATCACCCTATTATGCAGATCCAGGACTTTCAGCTGCAGCTCCTCAGCCTCCTCATATTTTCCTTGTCCCGAATATGTTGATGCAAGATTATTCATACTACCCAAGGTGTCTGGATGTTCTGGCCCCAGTACTCTGTTGATGCAGATCCAGGACTTTCAGCTGCAGCTCCCCAGCCTCCTCATATTTTCCTTGATCTGAATATGTTGATGCAAGATTATTCATACTACCCAAGGTGTCTGGATGTTCTGGCCCCAGTACTCTGTTGATGCAGATCCAGGACTTTCAGCTGCAGCTCCCCAGCCTCCTCATATTTTCCTTGATCTGAATATGTTAATGCAAGATTATTCATGCTGATCAAGGTACCTGGATGTTCTGGCCCCAGTACTCTTTGATGCAGATCCAGGACTTTCAGCTGCAGCTCCTCAGCCTCCTCATATTTTCCTTGATGGAAATCTGTCAATGCAAGATTATTCATGCTATGCAAGGTATTTGGATGTTCTGGCCCCAGTACTCTTTTACACAGATCCAGGACTTTCAGCTGCAGCTCCCCAGCCTCCTCATATTTTCCTTGATTTGAATATGACAATGCAAGATTATTCATGCTACTCAAGGTATTGGGATGTTCTAGCCCCTGCTTCTTTATCCCTACTTCTACAATTTTATATTGAAAATATTCTGCATCTTTCCACATTCCATCTTTATCGAACACATAACTAAACTTAGAATATTCCTTATCATTAAACACTCTTTCAAAGCCATTTTCCTCCTGTAATTGGTAAATGGCTTTGATGTGTGGCACAAGAAGCCTGTTGAATGCAATGTTCTCAGCTGTCATCTCCTCTGTGATACAGTTCACAAGAATCAATTTTGACACTTGCATCATGCACTTCTTTTGAGATATTGACATTCTATCTCTACTCCATTGATGCATCAATGGATGAATGGCATAAGTTTCTACAGAGGTTGAGTGCTGCTTGATCAAAGAAAAGGACATAAGAACCCTAACTCCTTCATGAAAGAAGAATTGATTCCAAGACTGATCTTTTTCAAGCTGAAGCAATTTATTCATATGTGTTTCAACTTCTTCTTCTAGTCCACTATGCAGTCCTTTGGAGAACTCAACAGCAGCCTTTCTAAATGCAGCTTCAATGATATTCTCATAATGTAGAAATGCAGCAGTTTCCAGAATGAGAAGAGCAGCCTGAGCAGCTGCTCTACCATGCCCATCAGATTTCCTGTTTGCCGTTGATTCAATTTCATTGAATGACAAATCCCATGTTTCATACACTGTACGATTGTACTGAGATGCACCCCTAAATGAAGGGTGGTTCATAAGCTTGTTCCTATGTCGAGAGAGATGCTCAAGGTAATTATCAATACTACAGAGACCAGCTTCAATGGAAGCTCCTGCTTGGTCAACAGCTAGAGGTAAGCAGCACAGCTCATTTACAATTTGTTGAGCTGTGCTGTAGACATCTCCAGTTAAATGGCTGGCTTTCAGCAAGAGTGATATGGCTTCCTTTTCAGCCATGTGATTAACCTCAAGAGAATCTTCATAAGATGTCACCCGCCCAAGAGATCGATTTCTGCTAGTAACCAGAATATTGCCCTGAGAACCAGATGGAATAAATTTTTCTACTACTTCAGGTGCACCATCAGCATTGTCAAAGACAAGCAGCCATTCACTCTGCAGGGATCCAATCCAGATAAGAGCAGACTCAGAGGACACAGAGACACCAGCAGCTTGAGCCTCAGGATGAGAGCAAAGACCCTTTAACCCAAGGGCAATGGTATCTTCAGAAGATGCGTCAATCCAGAAAACATGAGAGAATCTACATGTACATCTCATAAGATCAGAAATATAGTATGTGAAGAAACTTACCTTTCAGCCATCTTTTCAACAAACTTCAGACAAATCTGTGTCTTGCCAATACCCCCCATACCATACAACAAAAAAGACTTCCTGCTTCTATCTACTTGATCTTGAAGTGCAAAGTGATCCATCAGCCTCTTGAGAACATCCTCACGGCCTGTGAATAAGGCACTTGAATTTGGTCTTTGGGGAAGAAAGGGTAAATCATCTTGACCCCCGCTGGCATGTTCATGAACCTCAATCTTGACAAAAATCTCATCAATATCCCAAACCATCAATGCTGTTGTCATGGTACACACATTTTGAGCGACATAGAGTGTTGTATCCCTTATAACGAAATTGTGAGCTCCCGGAAATACATTCTAGGATTCCAAAAGACAAGGGGCATGAGCCAAAGAATTTATTCATGCATTATAAACACGCACCAGAGACGTTCCTCCCCCCGTAACCTCCGGCACCCTCATAAATGTGGACCTAAATCTCGTCAGGATGCTATCTGCCAGGGTGGAAATCATGAACTCCAACCTCGAAGTGCTAGGGCGTGGGCGTTCGTTACGTGGGCGCTCTGCGCCCATGAGCCGGTCAAGCATCCCCTTGAACTTTCCTTTCAAACGATTTTCACGAGGGCGACTAGAATCAGACATCGTGGTTCAGAAGAGAGTTGTGAATGCTGTGCGGCGTCAATTGTCCAGATGGGTCCATCGTTTCACAGAGTCAGCTGACGTCCGTTCCTTTCAAACTGCTGAGCGCTCCGAGTTAACGCGCAGTGGCGTGCCTCAGCGTAGGAGGCACCTTAAAGGACGGCGGTCAAAGAAGAAGTGTGAGAAAAAGAAACAAAACAACGCCTTTCACCAGCCTCAAGGGGACGAAGAGATGACATGCTATTTCGTTTCAGATATTCACAAAAGCAGCAGATCCACTACGGAGATACCAATAAAAACCTAAAACAAACAGTAAATTACATTGAAAGCCGAAAGACGAACACACATGCCTGGCTTCTTCATCATCATCGAAGTAGAACTTAGCGATCCCTGTCTAGCGACATTCCGGCTCTAACTCCTCTCATCCATCCTCGGCGTTCCTCGCATTCCTTCTCATCCCTCTCCATACTATCGTCCTCACTAATCCGCACGAGATCTGGTCGTAATTCATACCCTGTAGGAGGACAAGGATCTGCTGCGGCCGACGACGAACGATGGGGATCGCAAGGATGTTCTTGGTTTCCTGCAGCTCGGGCCTCGCCTCGCGGATCCTACAAAAGACCAATCAATTAGCTCATCGTTAAGAGGGGAGCGGTCATGTCGTACCAACCGGTAATGCGATACTCTATGTCGGGCCTGTGTCGAATCTTGAATCCCCAAAATACATCGGGTATGATTGAAGATCCAAAGTCCTACCTATCGAAGTATCGACTTGCTGGAAGGACAACGAGGCATCTGTGCACCACCGGAATTCCTTGTGTTGGATTATTGTCGTTACGGCGGGCCGTCGGTAGAGCTGCGGAGTACTGAGATCCAAGTGGGGCGAACCAAAAAACGGCGTCGTCACGAAGTTCGGGGCAGCCGATCGCCGCAGGAGTTGGTGCGGGTGAGTGAACCCTCTCGTAATGCTGCCTTAGAAAGGGAAGCGTCACTAGAACCATGGATGCCCACCTGATAAACAGCACAAAACGTCTACCGTTGCATGACTAGCCTCTCCTCTGCGCCGTGAATCTTCGTCCTCGTCCTGAACGTGTTGTTATATGGGGTTCTCCCGTTTAGAGATATCCCCAAAACGCCCGCATGAGTTCAAGGGGAGTGTGGCGCACGAGGTGAACTGTAGGATAGATGATCAGAAGATGGCCGATTTGGAAGAAAGTTGATGAAAGAGGGCACGCACGTAAACTCCAGCGACAAGACGATCGCCTCTCGGTTTGTTGATCTTTCATTTCACTCAAGGGGTGGTTGATACGGGTTTCCAAATCATCCGCGGACCAAGACTACGGTGATGAAACGCTCGTGAAAACCGAGGAAACTGACATGGCCTCACTGACGGAGAGGTACGAGGGTTATGAGCGAAGAAGTAGTTGAATGCAGTAGCCTTTCTGAAACCTTTACGTGTTTCAAAGCTTGTGCGCCATGCGTGACCTTTCATGTTAACTTTACCCTCAATGCAATGAGTATTGACAGATTGAATACTCACCTAGCGAATGTCGAGCAGGAGAACTGGACAGCTTGAGTCTCCACTTCCCCCTAAATGTAAAGAGAATATTGAGTGTAATTCTGAGGCGCGCGAATGGTAAGTGATAGGTTAGCAACGCTGGCGAAGATGATGGTGGTCGAGGACGATGATGTTCACGTTGATCAATTCGCGTCGATCAACGTTTGCTTTCTCTTTCCGCTACCACCACCGGTTGACAACTTTCACTAGTCGTGCATATAACGAACGACCTCCAGTGTTCCCCACGCCGCCTTTTTCCAATCCTCGGACTATTGATATTGTGCGCATATAGGCACCTCCGATGTTCCCCAACCCACCTACGGCGCCTCCCCCACCTTTTCGCCTGCAACGAGGGGAGTCTTTATCGTAGGATCGGTACCCATTAGCTGCATTGCGGGCATTCGCGGCTCTCAAAGCTGATGCTTCACATGTATACATTCTCGCAAAAGGCGGCCTGCGTTCAGTATGCGAGAAAGTTCAATGGCGCGTCCGGGAATGCCAACTGTAGTTTATAGAATGGGATCAGCTCGTTGATCTGCATGCTAGGCTTACGGGACGTACAGACATCGCATTGGCATCTATCACGGACACTCTCTTAGGCTCTCCCCTCAGGTTTAGGGCATCTGCAGAAGCACTCGACACACCGATCTCTGCCACTTTTCAGTTCGTCTCATCAGTTCTTGCACCCGACGGCGAAAGAACCTAGGCCCTTGCAAGTGGGCGTGACGACTAATGGGGAGGAGTGTCGATTAGCGTCGAGGATTACAAGGGAGGTGGTGGCGAGGTTGCCCACGGATGTGGGGTGTGCGATGCAGAGCGTAGGGCGGATGAGAAGGTTTGCTAGCTCCAAGGCCATGGACGACACCGATCCAGATGAAGTGTCCACAAGGACAGTGATGTCCTCACTCCCAACCGCCCGTTGAAGAATCAACTCGACACCGCTTGAAATTGGTCACCCAAGTGAACGAACACTGGCCCCTCTCCAAACTAGCTACCGTCTCGGACGAAGAGATGCTCGAGCTGACGTCGGACAAACCTCTGAACCCATCACGCATTCACACCCGCTCGCCCACTCCCAAACGCGGGGCGAATCATCCTGTTGGGCTCTGGGCACGGACACCCCACCCTGCTCACCCTCCTTACACACCATATCCACGCGGACCTCGTGTTGGAGGACAAGCTCGTCCCGCAGAGCGTGCTAGAACTCATACCCGGCCAGACAGAACTCATCATCGCGAAGAAGTTCCCCGGGAATGCAAATAAATGATGATGCATCTCGCTGTGGGAGGCGCATGGGGCTGTGCGTCGTTCGCGTATGTCCTTTCTCTCTGAGTATTTGCCTTGTCACGAATTTATTCTCACTATGAAGTTAAAACAAGGCGATCCCTCTATATACGGTCACTCTGAAGAGGTACTTTTCTTCCGCGCGCAAGGCTTCGAGCCCCTCCTCGTTTCAGGCATCTACTTTGCCTTGGGAATCGGCCAACGTTCGGTGGTATCCCGCTCACGCACCGCGGTGTAACCGGGAGCGTAATGTGTGGGGTTGGGTCGCAGGGTACAGATGGCGGAGTATGAAAGGGGGAGGACGTGGGTTATTTTGCTTGATGGGCATTGTAGGGAATTGTTGATGCGCTTTTGGGCGTTTCTTCGTTGACTGCACCTACTCCTGCTTCTACGTCAAAGACATCTGCATCTTTCACCACCACCACAAAAACGACAACGGCAGCAGCCCCATACACCTCAACTTGCTATCCACCGGTCGTATTGCATTTAGCCCTCCCTTCCTGAGGAGACAACTACTTCCTCAAGCACTCTACTTGAACAGTCACTCCATCCAGGAGTGGTCGTCCAGAAATCTCGGATCCAAGAACTGTTGCTTGATTGGCGCATGTTGGGCAGCAAATCCTACGTTCTTCCACTACATACATCTACCCAGCATCCTCTGGAATCCGAATCTTTACCCCCTTGGGTTCCGACCTGCGCCATCAGTCGGGGTCTCCCCAATCCGAACGCCTTCACCTCCAGGTTCACGGTAACGGACGAAACCTCAAACCACTCCTTCATCCTCTTCGCCTCCTTGCCAATCCATCCTTCGACTGGTTACCGTAACCCATCGTGAAGCTTGACTATCCACTTCGTGTTTGGCAGGATATCCGAACCTTTCCTCCTTGCGTCACGGCTACATCTCGCCACTTCCTCCTCCATCCTCTTGGCCTTCTACTCGTGGCTCGTCCCTTTTACCGTTTATCGTCATCCATCCGAGTCTTGACCATCCATTTCGTCTTTGGCAGGATATCCTCTCCACGCCCTTCCTTCATTCTGTCCTGGCCTTTTCTATCGACCGAGATTTCCCTTGAATCGGAGGGCCTTCGCATGCCAATGCTGCATCCCAATCTCCGCAATCTCTGCTTTGAGCCCGCCAAATTCGAGGCATTGTTCACGGTAACGGACGGCGGGAGCTCAAACCACACATCTTCCGTCGTGAGGTGTGTAAGGCACTCTTCTGCCATTCATCTTGGCCTCCTCGTCATGCCTCGTTTTTGCACATCTAACCGTACCCTATCTCGAGATTCATGGCGTTTGGCCGCTCGCAGTACTTCCTGCGCCTACGTGAGCCCAAACCACACCCTGCTTTCTCTCCTTGCATCCTGATCTTCGAGGTTTCCCAATCCGAACGCCTCCATTCTCGCGATGACGCACCTAAACATGTGCGACGTGCTGCCCGATGTTATGAGCCTCGAAGTTTTGTTCATGGTAACGGACTAGAACTCGAACCACACATCTTGTGGGGCGGTCACAGATTCCTCCTTCATCTCTCCTCATGGCTCATTTCTTGTGGTTGACATCTCATTCCGTCAAACGATCCATATTTGCCGGGACTCCCTAGATTTTCCCGAACCTGTTTCTCCCCGCCCCTCGACATTTACCCAGTCGCTCCAGGTGTCCCCATCTGAAGCCCCAAGTTCTACCCCCTTTTTCGCATCCAAACCGATGCTCCTGTGTGGTGTGCTGCGTGCTACCTTGAACAGCTTAGTTCCCCAGTTGAATGTTTCGTTCGTCGTCATGGGCAAGGGGACAACCTGCCCACCAACACCTCTCGTCCTCTTGAAAGGTGGCATGCTCAACAGAGGCAACTTTCCCCATGCTTACAACTCAAGACCGTAACAAGGCGGTATCCCAACAAGAAGCCAATCTCTCCCTTCCAATCGCGCGCCATTTGCCTTCTATACCGCCATGTGACCGTCGACTGTCAGTACTACTTAGTACTAGCATGGCGTCCCCGAGCTCCCCTTCAGGTACTGCACCAAAGGCAACTAACTCTACTGAGGTGCAACCTGAGATGGATTGCAAGTTGCGCTTCGATTGGGTTGCTGTCCTGCCTCACCATTTGCTCCCCCAACTGTATATACTTAGGGTCTATCCGGCAACGAGAATCCATTTTCATTCTCATTTTCATCTTCATTTGATGGCTGACAAATTGGGTCACACACCATATTGGGCAAGAACAATAACTGGGCTCCTTGCACAACCCACATTCTGCTGTTATATTTTCTATGTACAACACAGTAAGTTTCTACTGTCAGCTATAGTATGTATTTCTTTTCAATTTTTTTATTTCGCAAAAATCATGCATATTTACTTTATTCATGTAAATTACATACAACCAATCTTTATTTAAACTACCTACCTGTTGGTTTTGCACCCATAGGCTGCTGTGATGCCTATAAAAAAGCCTATGGCATAACTTGATGGGTAAGGAACAGAAAAATTTGCTCCCCATAAGTACATATTTATTAAATGTAGTTC